GGGACGAACCCATAGGCCACCCCGCCAGAGCGGGATCGTCGCAGCCGACCCACCGGAGCGGGCCTGCATGCGATCGTCGGTCGTCCCGGGGAGACTCCAAGAATCCGGGACATCCAGCCTGTCGCCCGGACAACACTTGCTAGAAGATTCCACTGAAAAAGATCAGGAAGAAGCAGGTAAGAATACCCGAAAAAAAATTCTTAGCTCCTTACTCCTGACGCTAGGCAAAAAACTGGAGACTTGTCAGCAGGTGGGGGGTCTAGGCCACCGGCAGGGGCCGCCCCTAGGCTGTGATTGGTCTTTAGTTTTGTGCCTAGCGTCCTTCTCCTGCAGGTGGCGATATTACCCTACAGTACAGGATCTCCGATCTGTTCCCTGTGTCCTTCAATGAACGGGAGAGAAATATTGATTTTACAAACATTTGCACCAATATTGTGCGACTTAAAAAAAATGCAGCTACGATTTTTTCTATTGTTCAGTGCCTCTGCTCAGAAAATCGATAATTGTTTGGGGGGTAAAGTAATTTTCTATCCAAAAATTCAGATTGTAGTATGAATGCACAAAAATGACAAAATTGCTCTGCTACTAAGGTGGTTAAACAAAAGTTTTTGCGCCTGGAGCTTAGCTTTAAATGTTAAATAAAAACGATTACATTTTAGTATTTTTGAAACCATCCTCTATTTACAGCATTTCTCTCGATACACATTCATTATGCTTTATCCAGTTACGTTTGGAAATAATTGATCACTGACACAAGTTTTGTTATTTTGGTTGTTTACCAAAATACATTTTGTTACAGTTGAGTAAAGAATTTGGGCTTAGGCCCCTTTCACACAGCTTACACACAACTGCCAGATTAGACTTGGCGAAAAAATATCTAAAAAAGCCAGCCCAGTTCTGGAACAGCATCCTTTGGACAGATGAAACTAAGATCAACCTGTAGCAGAATGATGGGAAGAAAAAAGTATGGAGAAGGCTTGGAACTGGTCATGATCTGAAGCATACCACATCATTTGTAAAACACAGTGGAGGCAGTGTGATGACATGGGCATGCATGGCTTCCAACGGCACTGGATCACCAGTGTTTATTGATGATGTAACAAAAGACAGAAGCAGTAGGATGAATTCTGAAGTGTATAGTGATATATTGTCTGCTCAGATTCAGCCAAACTCAGCGAAGTTGATTGGATGGTGCTTCACTTTACAGATGGACAATGACCCAAAAACATACTGCGAACGCAACCCAGGATTTTTTTTAAGGCAAACAAGCGGAATATTCTACAATGGCCAAGTCAATCACTTGATCTCAACCAGATCGAGCAAGCATTTTACAAGCTCAAGACAAAAGTCAGAAAGACCCACAAACAAACAACAACTGAAGTAGCTGTAGTAAAGACCTGGCAAAGTATCACAACGGAGTGTTTGGAGATGTCCATGCATTTCAGACTTCAGCAGTCATTGCCTGCAAAGGATTTGCAACAAAGTATTAACAATATACATTTTATTTATGATTGTGCTAATTTGTACAAATACGTTTGAGCCCCTGACATAAGGGGACTGCGTATGAAAAGGGTTGCCATTCCTAAAAGTTTCATATGATATTTTTGTTATTCCCTTGAGTTGAAGATGAAAGTCTGCATTTCAAATGCATCTCGGTTGTTTAATTTCAAATTCATTGTGGTGACGTATATAGCCAGAATTATGAAAATGTTGTCAGTGTCCAATTATTTCCAGACCTAGCTGTATATCAATATAAAATGAAATGTGCTTTTAGTGCAAACAAAACTATTCTTCTGCCTAGCCACAAAAAAAAGAAAAAACAAACATTCAATAACCTTTTACTTTTGTACTAATAAAATGTAAAATGATCAGCCATGTTTTATTTAATGTTATAAAGGCAAATACGATCCATCAATAAGAAAACGGAATTTCCCTCTAACACTTACGTGTAAATCGTGTTTGTGTCCAAGTCGACGCACACAACATCCTGGGGTGGGTCATACAGATCAAAGTACCGAGAATCCACACCGACAATAAATGGGACAGGGGCACTAAGTACTCCTGCCAGAGACAATGGGCACAGGGGAACATACGGACACTGCCACTGGAAAGGGAAGATCATCTAGAGACAAAATTAGAGAAATGTCATTAGTTCCTGTAGGCGATTCTTCCAATTTTTCTAAATCTTCCCCATTGCACATATGATGAGGACTTGATGTCGAGGTAGAAGCCTGTCAGCAGCATGTATATAATTCAGAATTCTAAAGAGAACCAGTCACCCATGGACAACTGTAATAATCAGAATTTTTTGATATTTGCTTTTTTACTTCTTTTTTCCTTTTCAAAAGAAATGTCAGTAGTATCTTCTGCCTGAGCTCAGTGCTGATAACGAACACTCGGAAAACGGTCATGTGTGAAAGGTTCAGTCAGATAACATGAATGAAAAGAAAGGCTTTTACAGTTTAACCATCTTCCAGTAGCCCAGAGAGTGTTATCAGCCCTGAGCTCTGGCAGCATGCACTGCACTATAACAATTTATGGACTCGGACCAAATATCCCATTCCTGACTTATTCTATTTAATTATATGTTATGCTATGGGAGCCTCAGGCTTTGACATGAAATCACTGTGACGATACCTGCCCATCATGTTTTTATCACATGTGTGTGTAGTCTAACAGCCCAGCCTGTGACATTTGCATAAAGTAAATGAGGAAAGATGCCTTTTGGTATAAATTGTACAACAAACGTTGCTGAATTGAGAACATAATGCATTGTAACACTTTGTGGTTGATTTATAAAAGTTAGCTAGGCGGATGTCATTTGCACAACATTAGTACCCCTATATGGCTCTGATGAGTTATTCCTATACTGATTATTGCCATCTAGGGGCGCTAATGCCTTATGACCGGCATTTGGAAAGAACTTTCCAAAAACAACCGCTAACTGTAGGCAACAAAAGTATATTTTAAATGATGCTTCAGCTAATACTGGCTGTGAGAATGGTATGCTATGTTAGGTGAGCTAGTCTAACTTTCTTCTGGTTAGGAATGGTCATTTCATTTGTGCACCCTTTTATGTTAATGTGCCTGTATATGCAATGAGCTTGCTATGGTGACTTGGAAATACAGCTGAATGCACTGAAAAATGCTGACATAACTTCCTATCGGGAAATAAATAACATTTTACTAGATGCTGACTGGTTGCCATAAACAGTAACATTTTTTTCCCAAACATTCTTATCTATCATTTACAGAAGAAATCTCGCCTTGCATTATTTTTCACAGCACAGTCATTCACATCCCCACAGTATATGATGCTTTTTATCCCATGCTTCTGTGTAAAGCACAAACTGAGACAGACTTTTGACAGTTTACTCCTCTTCATTCCCGTAAAGACTGAGATCACCAGCACTCAGTCAAAAGCATTACATCCTTTTGCTTATTTATTGAAGAAACATGTCACAAGCGTCAATTGGACAGCTCCGCTTCATTGCAAACCACAGGAGATGGACTCTTGATTGAATGCTCTTATTTCACTCTCTCTGTACGTTCCAAACACAAGCAAGATCAAAGGAATGCAAAGGGAAGGGACATGCTCTAACAAGAATCAGAACAGGTACTAGAACTGGAAGGGAAACCTTGTTTTTTGTTGGGAAAGTGCAGGAACAGTGAGATAAGAGCCGTCAAGAGGCTGTCTCCTATGCAGATCATGGTCGGGAATGAAAAGGAGTAAGCTGTCAAAGTCTATATCTCAGTTTCTACGGCACACAGACATAAAGATAAAAAGCAACATACAGTATACTGTGTGAGTTAGGTGACTAAGCTGGGGAAAAATAATACAAGGTGAGACTTCACACATTCAACATGACCCTGTTGCCACAGATTCCATTTCAGGATCAATGCATATTCTATGAGAATACAACAAGCTGCATTTTTCTTTCAACTTTGACACTTCCAGAAGTGTCAAAGGCTCTGTGTAGCAGGCAGCAGCACCTGTGTCTGTATAAGAAATAGCAGTGTGCAGCCTTATACAAGTTAGTGAATACTTACAGCCACAACGGCTTCAGCCACTCCAGTCAGAACCGCTGGTCGCAGGGAATGAAGGAGGATTTTGCTCTCTATCAGTACAAATTGCAGTAAGGTGGCACAGTTTTCTGGCCCCAGGTTAATCACCAGTGTACTAAAATTTGCTCCACTGCAAGAAACAAAAAACAGACTCATGCACACAAAACACAAAAACTAAAGTAAATCCTGCATCCATGACCTCTACAGACCTTCAGATCAAAAAACGACAATACAGTCTTATTACTGACTTGATTAAAGCTTGTATAGAAGAAATATAGCTTTGTTTTACCATATCCAACAATGACACTACTGTTGCTGTCAGAAAAGCTATGTGCTAGCCAGTCCATGCTTGTGCACTGACTCCATGGTGAGAACCGCTGTATGACACACTGTATGACACAAGCTTTGCTTTGCATGGAACAGATAAGACTCGAACACAAGTAAACTATATGCAACCCTCTGTTCACCATTCAGTCAAGTGGTAAGGCGTGGTTTAGCTACAGTTTTATGATTCTATGCATATATGAACTTTAAAAGGGCATTTGTGATAATAGAAAGAATTGAGAGCTCACTCTTCATTTTCAAAAATTTTTTTAAAAGGAAACTAAGCAAGACTCATTTTCTCAGGAACTCTCTCAGGAACTCCAGCGGCCAAATCTACACAACTGCTGTGGTAATTTTGAAAGGCTTACAATCTCCCTGTTGAGTTTTCAATTAATTTTACAGTTTCCTCTATACTGTACCCACACTATGTTCATAGCACGTTTATTCAGAAATACCCTTTAAAAACACGTTATCAATGACAATTCCCTTATGTCTACATACAGGTGCACTTACATGTGTATGTTCAGACAAAACTTTTGGATATAGTGGGAAAGGCTTAGAACCCCTGTCAGGTTTTACTCTCAACCAGGGCTCCATTAGGGAGATTTCCCCTCACTTACGGTCTAGTAATAATGGTCTAAGCAGACAGAAAGTGAGGTAAAATCTAAAAACAGCAGCACAGACCAAAAAACAAACATTTTTACTTAGTAACATAGTAGGGGAAAACCAGAACTCCCACTAGCTATTTATTACCATCTGTGCCCCTATAGCAGATTCTCCCTCACTTCCTGTCATTTCAATCTCTTGTAACAGTGACAGAGAGGGGAAATCTCTCTAGGTATCAGTGACAGATACAGAGCCCTGTAAAAGACCCAACAGGTATTCTAACCTCTCTTAATTCTATCCAAAACCTAACAAAAAATGTGGATGTCCATACACTTTAACATTCCATTTCTAAAAGTTTAGACTTCATGCATCTTTACAACAACTACATGCTTAGCATTGTTTTAAAGTTGAAAGATGTTCTTCAAAATACAATGGAGAAAATGACTGCGCCAGCACGTCAAGCAATTACTGTAGAGGGTAAAATTCAGAATCTGATCAGCCATGAGAGTCTCTTAAAACTATAAACATTATATTTAAACCAACTGGCAAGTTAAAACAGTTAGTAAATCACTTATAAGGTGGTAAGATAAACTTTAACCCATTTCACTTCCCATTTTCCGTGCAGTGTGCTGAAAACAAGACCTTCTGACCTACAGAACATGGAACTGCCAAACTGCAATTGTTTCATATTTCCCCTTAAATAGTTGTTGGGCGGTCTCTGCCTGTGTGGATGACTGCCTACTGCATTCAGTTTCACGTAGGATGAAATACTTATATTTTCCATTTCCGCAAACTCAGGCTTAAAATATTGACTAGAACAGACTTGTAATGAAGAGCTCCAGTCTAAATGAAAAGCAGGATTTCAAAAATAGGTGTTTATAGCACTAACAACAAATTCATATTTTTACTTTCTTTCCATGGAAAGACCTAGCATCTAATTTGTTGTCCAGATCCTGAAACCTAAACCAAAAAATATATGTGTGCCCACACCACCCACCCTACCATGCCAACTAGCTGTATAACTCAGTAGGGAGTTATACAGCTAGTATAATCACAATACAAGAAAAGATGGTAAGGAGGGCCCTGCCCCTAAGTGCTTACAATCTAAAAGGGAGGGGCAAGTGATACATGAGGAGGTAGCTGTGTGGAGATGAATTGTTTGAGAACGTGATGGTTCAATGGTTAGGTTGAGGTGGGATAGGCTTCCCTGAAGAGATGGGGGAAGTTGCTATATGTCAGTTAGTAGATTAGTGACACGCAAGGACACTGAGGGGTGAGTAGTTTACAGATGCATTTACATAAGCCCAGGGGCTTGAAGATGACAAATGCAAAAACATAGAGAATTACTCTTTCAATAATAAGGCTACCTGAGTGGTAATGGAGTTGACACAGGCTGGGAGAGAACCAATGTATCATGTGCTGATAACTGCAATGGAAAAAAGGGAAAACATTATTTTACACAATCGTTAAGTAAAAACCCTCACCGTTCTGCTGATATTCCTGCAAACTGTCTAGCAAGAATGTTTTACTAAACACAAAAGTGTAGCTGTAATTTATGATTCATATAAGTTAACTAGAGAAGGGGAAGCGTTTGCAGGGAAAAATATAAAACAAGGACTATAGAAGCCGATCTTAATGCATGTGATATGCAGGAAAAAGTTTGTTCTGTAACAAATGCCTTGCATGATAGATCATTATGATAACAAAAGGCACATTTTGAAACTCCATGCTTAAAATTAAAACCGTAGAACCTGGCCTACTCATATTGAACATATGATGAAAGAATGCAAAAGTAGTAGTTGCGTTTAAGAAAACCACATGTCAAAGCAGCCAGTAGAGCCCAAAATATAGGCTGCTTAATTACCAACCTCACCCTCTTACCCCAAACAAGGCTGCTTATTGTTGTTTTAACACAAGGTAGCCTCTGCGACCAATAGGAAGACTTAAAGTGAGACTAAACTCAGGAGTTACATTTTAAAAAAAGCATTCAAGTACCTTAAGTATTAACAAACATGTATCTTATTTGTGTATCACTCAACTGGAGATCCTCAAATCATCTCTGAATTGGTGCTGACACTGTCCTTCCTTCTGGAAGGTGGCTACTTTTGTTCCCCATGATACCTGTGTGTGTTCAGGGGTGTGGAATTTGTATCCCCCGGGACATGTAGTTCCGAGCGCCGGGAGCGGTGCTTCAATAAAGAGTACCTGTCACCTCCAAATGCTATCACACAGGGGATTGTTATCCCCTGTGTGATAGCAATACAGTTAAGTTTTAAAAAAAAGTAAAAAATAATAATTAAAAATGTAACTAAATAAAAATGTAAAAAATAAAAAAAGGCAAAAAAGTAAAAATAATAAAACAAATGAAAGCATTTTACAAAGTAAATAAAAATTGAAAAAAATGAAAACCAGCCCTGCTGCCCCCATCTGCATGCGAATAAACGTGCAGTGTTTTCAACTGCGATCGTGTGCAACAGCACGGGCAGGGCTGTATTGCAGCAGGAAAAAGCGCAATCTGCCTGGCACGACTGGGGTGCCATTAGAAAATAATGTCACTGACAGCGCAATCAGCAGTGGTGTGCGATCCGTGACTGCCCGGTCATCGTGCACGAAACCGAGCGAATGGCTGGGTGGTCACGGAATCGGACACCACCGCCGATCGTGCTGTCAGTGCCATTATTTTCTAATGGCACCCCAGTTGTGCCAGGCAGATTGCGCGTTTACCTGCTGCAATACCGCCCGGGCGATCCCACACGATCACGGTTGAAAACACTGTACGGTGCATGTCGTGAAAATAGGTACATCTACCTTTTGGTCCACTATCTATCTGTACCTGTTCCATGTATTCTGAATTTCGCTCGCAAATTGCAAGCACTTGTTGGTCAACGCGGTCACCTGAGGGCACTGACCAATGAGAAGCGCTTCTTAGCACTACTAAATACGGTTTTGGTTAAAATAATTTTTTTTGTATTGGGACAAGTAGATTGTCATGAGGCACAAGTAGATTTGGCCCCCGCTTTATTCCTTGGACAAGTAGTTTTTTCAAAAATTTCCACACCCCTGGTGTTATAAAGTAGCCACCACTCCAAGCTCGCTCCCGCGACGGACTACAATCTCAATACAAATTAGTAAATTAAATATGAGATTGTAGACCATCACGGGAGTAAGTTATGAGCGGTGACTACTTTACAACACACACAGGGACCATAGGGAACAAAAGTAACCACCCTCCAGAAGAAAGGGCAGCGTCAGCATAAATTCAGAGAGAATTTGGGGATCTACAGCTGAGTGATGCAGCCTCTTGCAGCACGCCCAGACCAGGCAGGTTGAGAGGGCCTGGAGCGATGACACTTGCTCATTTGCTGACTAAGAAAATAGGTTTCCAATTTGCCAACAAAAAGGAATGGGCGTATATTTAAACACAAGAATAAAAATTTTATATATTGCAGCTTACATGTCCTTAGATGTGGTGGCTGCATTAATTTCCTTTATTCAGGCTAAGTATTCTGCAAGTATCAAAAATAACTGTTGATCGTGATAAAAATTTGTGCCATTGAAACTTCCTCTGCACTGAACTGAACCTCATAACAATTTATCACCCTTTGCAGCCATCTTCTGGAAACCACAAAACAGCTTCCCTCTATGTAATGGAGATAAGGGGAGGGGAAAGTTTTTGTATTTCAAATCAGGAGCGCAGTCTAGGGTGACAACAATGATCCTCAATTAATGCAGTGCATTCAGTGTTGTCACTCAAGGACAAAAAGTGTGTTACTTGCAGGATCACCAGTGAAAAATAAAGGTAAAAAAAAGAACTTAAATGTAATTAAAAGGTTAAAAATGAGACAAAAATAAAAACCAATAAAAGGGGCAAACTCAACGGACCACTAGGTCCATCTCGACTGTCACCCTTCTGTGTTTATAGGTCTCTACATCGACAGACTGGTATACTGAAATATATTACATTTTGGTATTGGGTTTAGATATGGTTTAAATACTATAGCAATGCCTGGATTTTAAAAAAGTGGGTTGAACTCCCTGTGTGCATTCAAAGTTCAACCTTTCAATTCTAACTGGAGTGTACCTTTAAGACTACCAACATTATGTAGAAGATCTACAGCAGAGTACATAAAACACAATTACCTGCACAAGGATTCTTGGCCTCTGAGGAGATGGGAAAGGGACATTATGCATGAAGTGTGAAATATGTCTAAAAGTAAATTGGGGAAAAAAGAAGGGTAAGTGCTATTGCATTGCTTGCATTTTGTCAATTAAAAAAAAAGTCCTTCCACACTTGCTCTAATGTCTCAGCCCATCCTTATTACTCTGTGTAAATGGACTGAAAACAAAAATGTTTGCATGGCAGCTTTCTGAAACATCAATAATAAAACAATACCAGTTCCAATGCTACCAACTCTTCCCACTCACAGTCTGTAGATTAACGTTCCATAGAGCAATGATTCGTACTAAGCAAAGATTTATCTATGTTCCATTTTGCCAAAAACTGCATTGTCACTGAAGTCTCTCGGCCTCAAGTAATGGTCTGGAGTTGCCCTGATTGGTTCCCCATAATGAGCTCGCTATGGTAGCCAATCACAGTGGTCACATGGATTTATTTATAAAAATGAGCCTGTCAACTCAGATGTCATTGGGTTTCACAGGGAGAGAGGGAAGCATTTTGACAATGGCAGCTGGCAGGCTGCAGCAGTTAACGTGATCTATAGACTGTTACAAAAAAAAAAAATTCAAAAATGTGAAACTTTTTTCAAATATAGTATAACCTGTTAAATAAAAATGCATTTTAAAACCATTTCTGTAAATTCAACAGTTCTGGCTGAATTCCGTCTGGACATCCATGCATCAATTACTTACTTTTCAATAGGAAGTGTGTGAGGACCAGACACGGAGAGCTTGTAGATGAACATTAAAAACTTTCGAAAGGTATCAAAGAAGGGCCAGTGAGAGAGCAGGCAGATGCACTTGTTGGTATTGATCATTTTAGAAGTCATTACTTTCTTCTCCACAGCTGTAATAAGCCCGAGCTGGCTCATCTGTTTCTCAGACAGCATTTCGCGGTTGTATGGTTCATAGAACTGAATAGCAGCGCCATAAACCTGGTGTAAGGAAACAAGTGAAAGTACAAGGATGAGATCAAGAAGTTAGTTAACGATTAAAGCCATAATCATATACAGCTGGACTTGTATCCTGTCTCTTTAATATCTATGCATATTGCAGTTGAATAAATCAATTGATTTTACCCTATGCACAAGCTGATAAAATCAGCAGATCATTTATTACACTTAGGTGAGTGACAATTGGCTTTTTTTGGCATCTTTAGTCTAACAATTAGCCCTTCAACAGTAGAAGTTTGTTCAGAAAAGTTCGTTCCTTTGATTTCCTAATAATTAATGGGGTCAAATCGACTATCAATTTCGACCATAGATTGTTTTGTATGAACATTCTTACAAAGATCTGCCAGGGTATAGCCAACCAAATATTACTGTAATCATGTCAAAACTTTACAGGTTGAACAATGAAGATGTGTTTGCATTAACGTGCTAAAAATGGTTATGATAAAAAGAGTAAAAAGTGACCTCCATAACCTTACAGTAAACACATCTTTAAATACACAATATACAATAAAAACAACTGGCTATGTGCCCTAGGTCTATATACATCTCTTTGGTAAGTAAAACAGATGCAAAACTATGAATTGGCTTTTCTAACAATAGGTAGGAATTCCATTGCAATAGGGGCAATAGAGTGATGAGCAAGGCCCAGTGGGAAAGTACAGTTAAGTTGAGTATACACGCTTCTATTTTCTTCATTCACCCTGCCAGCTGAACAAAGAAAACAGAAAAGAATCCTCTATTAACACTTACGAGCGTTGAAAGAGGAACCTCCCGCTGTTTATATTGTATTCTGACAGCGGCCAGGGATGCTGACAGCAGCACCCACGCTTCACATTTTGGCCGGTTCATCAAGAACCGTCTCAAATTCGAAGCGTATATACCCAGGTTTACTATACGAATCAAGAGGACCTTGCTTATGAAAGCTTACATATCTTCTATAGACATAGCTCAGGAGAAGACTGGTATCAGGACTTAATAGCAACATTGTGACACTCCCGTAAATGCTCGGTTCTACCAAGAGCTTGTTTAGTAGAGTATGGTTCCCCCTATTGATAAATTAACTACATGGGAGGAAGATGTGGCAAACAGGATTATTAATAGATCAAAAGGTCCCAATCAACGTTCCTCTTTATGGTTCAAATATTTTTATTAATACAATCCCAAAACGGTTAGCTCAAGCCTGTTACTGATATTCTCTATTGCAAAGTTTCACTTACTAGTTTATATGGTAAAAAATATAAAAAATTCTTAGTTATAGTTTGTGTAAATAATAATAAATTCCCCTCCTCTGCTCTATGTATGATCTGTAGGAAAATGTTTAATGTATTACCAACACTATGATGTGTTGACAATACGTAACAAACATTTTCAGTTTTCCCTAGGACTTTCCCTTCTGCACTGTGCTGGCTTTCCAAAGACTAACAAGTGACATTTGGTTACGCAGCATTTAGCTGGTATTTTAATAAACAGCTCATTCTCATTGGCACTGAGTAGAATGCCCTTATAACTAGATCTCCGGAATTCCTTTTCAAAACCAAAATACCATGAAGCATTAGTTAGTAGAGCCCAGGATGGAAAAACTGGTAGAGAGCCGTGGTCACATTTACAAGACCCAATACAGAGAGTGCAAACATTGCAATCCACACCCTCACGCCCTTTTTGTACATTTCTTGCTGATCCCTTAGAGTCACTATCAGCTTATGCTGTTGCTGTCAGATAACAGCTCAGCTTCCTCTCTTACTACTCAAAAACTTAATGTGTTCAGGGTCTCCTAGTAATGCAAAACATTGATAATATAAGACGCTACATGTAGCCACCTAAAAACTTGGCAAGAAGGGTAAAGAAAAGAGTACCTTTCTTTTGTAGAAGTTAGCTACCAAGCATAGCAGTCATTATTGCATACTGGTTGTAAAGCAATCATCAGGGCAGTTACCCAGTTTTGTAATACAGTTCTGCTGCAGAATATAGTGGTTATTCTCTTCTAGATACATCTAATATGCAGAAGAACTGCTTTACTTGGCATGTAAATGTACAGAAGTCATGGAATAGCTAACTAGTAGTAGGTTGTACCTTCTCTGCTGTGGAGCCAGTGAGGACAAACGTAGAAAAGACAGGAAGCGGGTACTTGATTTTGGGAGCCCAGCATTCAATGGTAGCTCCCATAGGAAGACAGAAGAGAGGCACAGATTCAGGTAGTGGAAATGACTCACAATCTTCTTCTGGATATCTGAAGATCATATCTGCCAGCATAAAATGTATAAGGTCAGAGGTTCACCTGTAAAAACTTGGTTGAAAAAACTAGTAAAGCTCAACTTCAGGTACATATAAAAGAGCAACATTTAATCCAGTTAATACAAGTATTCAAGTGTGTCTTTAAATATGCTTTCTAGAATCCCCTGCACAGCAAGATTCAGACTCAAGGAGGGTGGCCGAGCAGCCATTCAGACTCTCTTGCACTGTACAGTGCTATCAATCTAACACTAGATATTTGCTAACAGAAGGAGAAAGCAAAGTATGCAAAAGAATGGACTTATTAGAGTAAGTTGCAGCACCATCACATCACCCGGCTGGGGATGGGTTGTGACCAAGATGCATTGGTTGGCGTAAGCTTCAGACTGTCTAGGCATAATTTTCTTTTAAATTACATAAGATGAGCATATAAACTGCTAGTCTATGTTTTGTAATAGATGATGATCTGGACACAGTTCTGATTGGCTGCTGAGGACAACATGATCAATCTTTCCTCTTTTCATGCATTAGCCCAATTAGGTTTCAATTCATAACTAATACTGAAAACGTGTTCTTCCAGGGCAAAAAAAAATACCTATTCGGGAAATCTCTGCAAGACATGCATTTTACAATGTAGTTTCCCTTTACAAATGCTGCAAATAAAAGAAAAATACAGTTGAGTTTTCTGAAATCCTTTGTGCTTCTTACTTCCTGTTTGACATGACACAATGCCTTTACTGCACTGAAATCCAAATAAGTGTTGCAAGCTCTGCCTGCTGGACTACGGAACTCCACTTACACCACTCTCTGTCCCACTCCACATGCATACATTTATTTATTTCCCAGCAAAACAATGTTGCTGCCTTCACACTGTGTAGAGGAGGGGTGCCCATTAGGTAGATCGTGATCTACCAGTAGCTCTCAAAGCTGATGCTGGTAGATAACGAAGGGTGTGAATGGTGGCCCCTTTATTCCATTTTGGTATATTTATTTAGCTGTGCACACATGATTACCTATTAGCCTTAGTCTGCAGAGCCAAGCTCCCTGACACCTTTCTGGTATATACTGGTGGTTGAAGTGCTATGTATTACATCAAAGAATATTAGTTTACACAGCCTGTTGCACTGTACTGTTTGCAAAATACAGCAAGGTGAGCCAGGAGAGAGAGCGAGGAGAGACGGACAGGAGAGAGAGGAAAGACAGCCAGGAGAGAGAGAGAGGACAGACCGCCAGGAAAGAGAGAGAGGAGAGACAGCCAGAAGGATGAGCAAGGAGAGACAGCCAGGAGAGAGAGAGAGGACAGACCGCCAGGAAAGAGAGAGAGGAGAGACAGCCAGAAGGATGAGCAAGGAGAGACAGCCAGGAGAGAGAGAGAGGACAGACCGCCAGGAAAGAGAGAGAGGAGAGACAGCCAGAAGGATGAGCAAGGAGAGACAGCCAGGAGAGAGAGAGCGAGGGAGGTGTTTTTTTCGTTGGTAGATCTCATGTAGCGCGTCATTTTAAATGTAGATCTTAACACAAAAAATTGTGGGCACCCCTGGTGTAGAGGAACTGCTCTTGGGAGATGTAGTTCTAGGGGTGTGCTTTCACCAATAGGCCGCCCAGCAGCTGACCCAGAAATAATTTTATAAGCCTGGTGATAATGTCTTGTCGCTCCAAGAACAAGTTAAAAGACAACATTGATGCTGGTAAATGGTCTAGACTCTAGAGTGAGGGGTGGAGGAGGTTTGGGGGTAAAATAAGGTGATGCCTGGACATACACTTTAAACTGGTATTAAAGTTTAATTTTTTTTCTACATATATCTACTGCTAGTAATCAGTAGATATATGCCCCAACATTTAAAAAAACGGAAAAAGTGGCCAAATGTGTAATAATTTACCTGTGTCGGCGCCACTCGCTCCCGGCTCCAGAACACAAGCTTCCTGAATGGCCGTGCAGGAGGATAATGTGTGCGGGCGCATGCACATTTGAAATCACCAGAGGGGAGAGGAGGAGTGAGACAGTGTAAGTGAATGTACAACAGCATGTTCACCTTGCTGTAAAGCTGGTGACAAATTGATGAGTGCCTTTGCCATTTGTTTTGCTTGAGTGTAAGTGAATGAACGCACTCTTGGAGAGGGCATGCAGGACAGACTAAGTGGGACACAGGAAGAAATAGGAGATCGGACAGCGATATCAGCGCTGAGGGGACTGTTGGAATAGATTGGAAGGAAGATTGCAGCAAGAGACATCATATATAAGGTAAGTACTTACAGCAGTATTGGGGGGGAATAGCCTTTAATGTCATCTCAGACTATGAGGCTGAGTGAAAATCACTCTCCTCATAATTCTCCTTTAACTTTGAAAGTACTTGTTCTGAAAAGCAAACAGGCCATGTTGCTTCAGGCACTGGTTTTAGTATATTAGTAAGAAAATTGACAGTGCTACATTGTATCAAAACCAGCCATAATATGTTATGAAGGTCTACAGCCTGAATAGTATTACGTTACTGAATAATATTGTGTAATGCATTTGTCTGCCAACAACCATGGCATACACATTGTCTGGGGAAAAAGAATGTAAAAAAAGTTCATATAAAAATGAGGAGAGTCCATAAACATCTTGTTCCTTACAACATCATCTAGAGTGGTTTAAAAAGACATGTAGGAGACATAAACAGTTGGCAGAGCAGACCCTGGGAGCTGATCTCGTACAGCCACACATCAGGTACTGTCTCTCCCTGCGTCTGCACTGCGTAACCTTTGCTCTGTTATCAAAGCCATTTCACTTCAAGTTCCTGCATTTCTGATTGCTTTATTTCACTGTGTAAATATAGCCCTATGCGCTGTGGTTTCCAATGCCCTTTAACCTTAGAACAGGATGAAAATACAGGAACTATCATGAAATGCACAGCCTTATAATCCTAAAACAAATTATTAACATGCAGCTAAAGCTGTGTGAAAAGATCACTCCCAAAGGATGTACAGTATATTGCCTTAGCCCAATGATTCATTTTGCTGAATTACAACACAAATACTGTTCTTTAAAATAAATGTTGTAAGGATGGGCAAAGTATAGCAACCTACAGTAACCAATTATATTTAAGGTTCTTGTATGGAGATCATGACTGCCGATTTGCTGCTATGGATGCCTTTGCACGTTCACATTGGTCTTTACTGCAATGTAATTGTGCGTTTTTGTTTTACTGTACAGCTACAATTACATAGTATTTGAGGTTGAAGATACAGGTCCATCAAGTTCAACCTCTGTGCGTCTGTGTGTGCAGTGCGTGCATGTGTATATGTGTACACGAGTCCCTGTGTGGTCTTTTAAGAGTACCTGTAAGAGTACAGAGTACCTGTACCCTTGTATGTTATGGTCTCCGACGAAGGGATCGAAATGCTATTTGAATACTCTCAATACTCTCTGCTGATACTACTGCTTGTGGCAGCAAGTTCCAAAACGTAACCACTCTAACTCAAAAAAAAGACCCTGCACCCTTTGTGGTTAAATCTTTTCTCCATCAATGTTAGGTGGTGGCCTCTAGTCTTTGTTATGGAGTTTACTGTAAAATGTTTATTGGTGATGTTGCCCTCACCACTTTGATTGACTGTGTTCCAAACTGACTCTGAGATAAGCAGGTATTGTCTAAATACAAGGGTCATGTTTATTCTTAGTAAAATCTTGGTGTGCTTAGTGTATTTCATCCAGATCTGTGCAGCAATCCAGTGAGAAACTTTGCCTCTGCGCAGGAACGTCTTGTAATAAAGACCAGCCACCGCTGCTCCTTTTGCTTGTGCAGGTCTTATATCCACCCCATGCTGTATTTGAATACAGGCAGCCTTAGGTGGTGGATCTGCTGGGTTCCTCACACATCTCTGCTCTCATTACAGGTTATGCACAGCACAGTGATTGATATTGCAAAGGCTTTTAATTCACATAAAGTGGATTTATATCCATGAGGAATATATTTAAAGTTTTTGTGCCCGGAGTTCAGCTTTAAGTATTGTATTTTCTTTTTTTAACTTCTAAAAGCACACAGCTGAAAAGAGTGACTCGGCTTCATGTAATTACATGTATACAGCTTAAATACATGTATACAGCTTAAAAGGTGCCCATACACCTTACGATTATTGGACGAAACTTTTCGTCTGATGATCGAATAGTCGTACCATTTTCCTACGACGGCCCCATCCTGCCCCGATTATCGCAAGGTTCAATCAGCGGTAGTTAAAAAAAATAAACACCTGGACGACTTGCGGTAATTGACCGTAATTATTTTCGTTTGCACATGCGCAGTGTTAATCATACGACTTTTGACAGACGTAAATGCCACCAACCATGCGAACATCGTACGATCGACCAAAGTTTTCAAACATGCTTGACCGTCAGAAGTTGTACTATTGTACAGTGCTATCAGTCGGGCACTCTATTCACAGGTTACGATTGTCGTACGAAAAGTCGATCGCATACGATTATTGTACGATAATCGTAAGGTGTATGGGCACCTTTAGCCTTAATCATCTAATCACAAAAATGGATCATCATTATTCAAACAAAATGGCCAAAATAGGCCTAGTTCGCAGACATCTTTGAAATTTCTCTGATACTAACCAGCTTTATAAGCAATAGAGTTTGAAGCAGGCACAGACTTCTTGTAGCACAGGAATACGTTGGACCCCCACTAAAAGGGCAAAGGAAAAAAAACACATTAAGGATTATGCTACAGAGCTGACAATACCAGCAAAGTTCAGGAAGATATTAAAAGCTCTGATGGAAGCAAGTGATGGAAAACGAAGCAAGAAATGCAACAAGCTATTAAACATAACAATGCATACAAGTGTTTTTCCTTCGTTTCTCCTTACCATGCCACAGTTAAGGTTTTTATCCACCTTACAGAAAGTATGAGGTGGGATCTCCCCTTTGTTGGTGATGATCATGCAGATGTCAGTAACAGCAAGAGAATTCTGGGTCCGGTCAAGAGCTGCTCGGCGATAGGTGATGAATATTCTTGAGGATGTAGCTGAGCTGTTGTTTACATTAGCACAGCGTCCATATGGAGTTGCTTGGATTGTCTCACAGCCCGACATGAGACGCTCTTTTCCCTCATACAGCACTCTAAGAAGGAATGAAGGAAGGATATTAAGGATTTTTTTTAGTTATAACACACACACACACAAAAAAGGTCAGGAATCAAGGGTAAAACATTTGTATTAACTAGGCAGCCTTAAATATTTTCCACATATGAAATATGACAGTGGTGGACAGGTGGTGATTATAGAATTGACACCATTTGTTCAAGAATGTAAAGAGTCAGCAATTTTACCAAGCCAGGGAATACGTTCTATGATAACAATAGGAATTACGTCTTTTTTGGATCCACCATCATATTAAGACTTTCCATTGTAAGGCACTTCAATAAAGAATATACTAAAATGATTTCTAGGGTAAAACTGTAAGTTCACTGCACCTCAATGTAGAGTGCTGTCGTGTGGAGACATGTATAGAGTGTACACTTTGCACACCCCATATAAAATGTTAAGAAGCAAAAGAGAACAGTGCCTAGTACTGTAACAACGCAAGGCGCCCTTAGTGTCTGTGCTGATGCACCTACACTGATCAGCCATAACATTTTGACAACTGAGAACTAAAGTGAACAACATTAATTATTGTTTTACAAAAGGCACCTGGAAGTTAGTTGGATAGATTAGGTAGCAGGTGAACATTTTGTCCCTGAAGTCGATGTGTAATAGGCAAGTGTAAGGATTTGAGCAACTTTGACAAGGGCCAAATTATGATGGCTAAAGGACTTGGTCAGAGCTACTCCAAAACGGCAGCTCTTGTAGGACGTTCCCGCTCTGCAGTGGTCAGGACCTTCCAAAAGTGGTGCAAGGAAGGAAAACCAGTGAACCGGCGACAGGGTCATGGGCGGCCAAGGCTCACTGACACACGTGGGAAAGGAAGGAGACCCCCACCTCGCAACTTACAGAACTTAAAGGATCTGCTATTGACGGCTTGGTGCCAGATACCACAACATACCTTCAGAGGTCTAGTGGAGTCCATGCCTCAATGGGTCAGGGCTGTTTTGGCAGCAAAAGGGGGACATACTCAATATTAGGTGAATGGTCATGATGTTATGGCTGATTTGTATTAACTTAGTTATCAATTTGATATTGTGCTGCTAACAAATACTGCTCTATGGCAGTGCTTTCCAATCTATGGGTCGCGGACGTGTTTTGAATGGTTCAGTGAGACCTTGTGCGCAGCCCTGGTGAGCAACTCCAGTATAGAGTATGTTACTTTATATTATTCTGCATTACTGTATAATGTATTGCTGGGATCTGTAGTCTTCTATAGCTGATGGTATTCTGCATTGTTGTATAATGGATTGCTGGGATTTGTAGTCCTCTATAGTTGGTGGTATTCTGCATTGCTATATAATGGATTACTGGGATTTGTAGTCCCTCCTTCTATAGCTTGGACTCAGTGGCAGAATTACAAGGGCTGCAGCGGTTGCAGCTGTGACTGGGTGCTGGTGCTCCACCACTGTCCTGAAATCATTAGTCTGTATTGTTTTAGAAAAAAAAAAAAAAGGTATCGAAAACCGGTTTTGGAGAGTACTTGAGGAACGGTACTTTTACTTGGTCTTGAGAAAATGGTATCGGTGCATCCGTAGTTTAAACCTACAATCTGGGATGTAGCCTTTAAACAATGTGGTTAATGTATCACAAAGAGCATGAATTTTTATGAGTTGAAAACGTAATAAATAGTCCCACCCATGACACCATCAACTCTCCAAACTTTGGAAACAAACGAATATGACTGCCAGCACAGACATATGAGGGACTAGAGCATGTGCGAGGGGGTGGTGGAGGGAATTCCACATACAAGGTTGTGAGGTGAAGAGACCCCAGCACTAGTTGAAAATGTAAAAAACAAAAAAGGATCTCTCCTTGCTTTACTGCAGTTTAGTCGCCCGCGCTGTTACACGGCCATTGTGATTTGTCTTTGTTTGGCTTTGCTGCCATTTTGGGGATAATTCTCTTCTCGGGTGCCAGTACAATAACAAACACAGAAAAAGAAAACTTTTATATGTATGGCAGCAAATCCTCAGCTCATGTAGAAAGTGAAATAACCATTCTGCGTGAAGAGAGGGGCACCAGATGATTGACATTCTGTTTCCTTACAGATAAAATAAAACCTTCTGATTTTATACTGTGACACAAAAATCATGTAGTCTTTATAAAGATGACTAACATCTCTGCCAGGGAAAAATGATGTAGATGGCATAAAGCGGCTTCCAACAAATAATGACTAAGCAAAGCAGTAACCAAAAAGGACTGCCAGCTAAGCATCTAGGAGCTCTGAACTGCACCGCAGAAACCTTGCACATTTCCAAAAAGCAAAGCATTTTAAGATTTAAAAAAAAAAAAAAAAAAAGAACTCCAGTTTAATCTGGAAAGGCTCCATGTACTACAATTAATTGATCTAATCCATACACTTAATTTGCTGTATGACCCACTCCAAAAGGTTCTGATAGACACAAAAGGACAATTAATTGTACAGGTATCACAGACTACATGGGACATTAGAGCTTGTGTCGGTGTGCTAAGCACAAACATTCATATTTAGCTTATGTAAAGGTGGGAGACATGTTGTGGACACCTTACCAGGCCAGCTTTAGAATAAAATATGGTTCACAAGGTTACAGTGGTATTAAAATTAAAAAAAGTTTTACGCTATATTAAATGCTGATTAAATCACTTACAATGCATACTGCTCTTTGATGTTTTCGTCTCCGGCCCCGATATTCTGTTTTACGCAGGGTCCTATGGAGCCACCCTTGTGTGCTAGTAAGCTGTGTGTGTCTCCACAAACACACATGGAAATATGATGACTAAATGCTTGTGCAAAATAAATACTTTGCTAGGCAATGTATATTGGTTTAATTTTAAGTATTGAAAAAAGTTTGAGATTTTAATACTACTTTAATTTCCCAGCATATGCTATCCTGTTATAACATCAGCATTGTAATAGGAATACATACTAGAGGAGTTATTGATAATACAATCAAAGCTTACTTGAAAAAAAATCCCTTTTATGTAGTGACTGCTGCCTTCCACCTGCCCATCACTTGCAACAAATTATTGGATTCCCAGTGTGCTTTGCATCTCTTTCCCTGCTGCTTGATGTGATGCAATCTCCATTTCTCAAGACTACATATCCCATCATGCATTTGCTTCCAGCAAGCAAGGACAATGTTACATTTTTCAGATGTTGAGTTGTAGTTCAGAAGGCAGGCTCTGTGAGAATTGTGACACAATGAAGTGCATATTCACAGGACTGAGTGAAATTGTGTCAGTGCATTGAGGCAGTACATCCTATGGGTTTACAAACTTCCAGCTCAATATGGCTATTAGGAGTGGGCTAGAACTTATTGAAATACAAAACAAAAAAATCCCCAGCACACTTACTAACTAGCCTGCAACAAAACAAATTACACTGTAACGCACAGGAGGCTTAATAGCAAGTTTTGGATTGCTAGTCCTCCAGTGCGCCCCTGTGCCTTTAAAGAGGAGTGGGGCACCTCCAGGCATACCTGCATTCAACGTATCTACTGCTAAATATGCTCCAAGATGGAGGCTCTCATAGATTAGAGTTAGAACCACACTACACAGAGGGGCCTTGACGAGGTAGTGTGGCTTCCACATGTTTTGCAAACCTCTGTTTTTAACGCATATTGTTAGACAGGGCAATTTGTTTTTTTTGCAGGCTAGCCGGTAAGTGTTTTGGGAATGTTTTTATGTTTTGTATTGTTGTAAGCCCTTCCATGCGCACCTTGCTGTATACAAGGATAGTTAGAAATTGGGTGGTTGCCATTTTTGTTAACAACGTATTAAAATTCATTATAGAAATGCATATTGATTTTTAGTTTAGATACCCTTTACACAGCCCCTTTAAGAGTGACAAGCCTTTCTTACTACACATGCAATGTACCATGCTCCACTTATATGCCCTAGAATTAACGTGAATCAAATACATAAGCAAGGCCGAAGCCCAGCTTCGTATACTTCAACTATAAGCACACAATTCAGAGTAATGCATACAAATACAATCATCTGGACTGATCACGTACACATTATGAATGGGCTATCAAGTCACCATAGCTAATCACAAAATAACAGAGTACGGTTGTCTCCAGGGTCAGGTGACTTGGCAGAATCCCAGTACCTGTCTATAGCCAATGCCAGGTTTCCAGGAAACCCAGGTCAAAGGGTCTGCACACAGCAGGTGCACACCTAATTACTTAGGATCAGAGATGTATTATAAAGAATGGGAAGGTGAGAGCAACAAAGGCTTCTAGCCATCCTTTTTAATGAAGATCAGGTATTACCGGAGCTCAGGAAAACAGCATTGTATAATGAGGTTAGTGGAAAAACAGAAAATATCCTGCTGCCTTTCTCTAATTGGCATGAAGCTTCGGAAGGCGCAAAAACAATGTACTGTATAACAACATGTGCCTATCACGTAGGCATGGTGGACAGTATTAACACAAGCATGAAATAAAACTAGTGTTATCAAACAAATGTCAATAAAGGGAAAAGTCAAAACCTGTTTTGTAGTTTTGATTAGGGTAGGGAAGGATTGGAACCCCTGTCAAGTTTGTATTGCTGTACGGAGTAGAGAAAGATTGAAACCCTGACAAGTTTTCATTGTTGTAGGAGTAGGGAAGGATTGGAACCCCTGTCAAGTTTCTATGGCTGTGAACCAAGTGAGACTGAGCTAAAAAAACAAAAAAACTCCTTTGTGTTTGTTTTTCATTCATCCATTAAAAAGGAGAACTATGAGGTGAGTGAAAATCACTCAGCCTCATAGCTCTAGCCAACGTGTGACAATGAAGCTTTCAAACGTCGGCTCAGTAGATCGGTAAGTGAGCGAACACATACCGTCGCTCGCTCACTTCTTGATCTATCCCTGCAGAGAGCTGTGACTGTCACTCATGGCTCCATGCAGGGATTCCCCCCCTCACCTGTCCGATCCTCCATCGCTAACTGGCGAAACGGACGGGGGAGGTGGCGGGCACGGCTGGCTCTGCCTCTAGATAGGCAGAGCCAGCT